ACTCGTCGTCGTCGCTGAGGATGTCCGTCTCCTTGATGTCCTCCTGCTCCTCGTACTGAGCGAGGTCAAACTGTTCCTCGACCCAGCGGTCAGTGTCCCCCCCGTGCGTGGGCTGCTGGGGCTCTTTTTCGGGGCTGCTCGTGTAGACGGCGTCTGAGTCAATGGTAAACCTGTTTCGGGCCAGCCGCCGCCTCCTCCTCCCAAGAGACTTGCTTGGGGCTGACACTGCGCACACACAAAGATAAAACCCCACAGGCTTTTTACACACGGTACAACTCCTTAGGGAAAGTTACTCTTCCAGGGGCCCTTTATTTAGCACCGCTGGGCACAGAGCAGGCAGACTCCCACGGATGACCTGGTCACTCCCTGCGGGCGAGTCACGCTCCGCTCGGCTCCTCAGCACAGGTCTCTCTCCGGCTGAAAACACGGAGTTTCTGCTACTCAGATCCACGCTTTGGGATAATGGCCCACAAGGACTGTTCCTCCTGAGCGGTGGGCAGGCAGCCAGCACCAAGTGCATCTGTTCAGCTCAGCTTCTCACACGCAGTGCCTGCTGCCAGCACACCACAGAAACCAGCAGGCTCACACCTCGGTAAAGGGAAATTGCTTTGTCTGGGGTGAGAGCAACACCACGGGTTTCCAAGTGGCTGCCTCAGTGCTGAAGATGCTGCAACTGCTGTGTTATTCACGGGGAACTACGTTCCTTGTCCAGGCTCTGCTACTGCCTCCCCCCACTCCCTCCCTACTGGGGGAGAAACCAAACCCCAAAACCAGAAAATCTATCAGAAGTTCCTTACTCAGCATCTACTCTACTAGCTTTTGCAACTGGCCCAGTTAGCAAATTCACATCTCCTGTGTTGGAACATCTTCACAGGAGGCTTGTGAGGCAAAGCAGGGGATGAATCCTGCAGCTCTTTATGTGCACACACACATAGCTCCATGGCCAGCAGTGAACTCTCAGGCTGGAGTTTCTCCCCCTCCACCAAACAGCACCTTAGCACTTGGCAGGATGTATTTATCCAACTCTGCCTTGGGGGTGGGGTTACCTTTTAACGTCCCTGAGCCTCACAAGGTGCATTAAGTACGACAAAGCTCAGCAGTTGCAAATTTTATCTGTAGGGAGAGGTCTGGACTTTGAGGGCAGGTTTTAATCTCTGCAGAACTCATCATGCAAATGATGAAAGTGAAAGGAGGTTTGGCATCTACAGCAGGGTGGCCCCGCAGGCCCAGGGAAGCAGCACTGTGGTTTTTGGCCCTCCTCTGACTCTCCCTGCTTAGGATCTGAAGTGCCTGTGAGGCAGATTCCCAGCAGCACCCCGAGTGAGAAGCCATGCTGAGGATGGTGTTGGTCTGGCCTGCCCAGTACAGAAGAGGAACAGAAAGCCTGGTTGTCTATATTGCTGGATCTAACGAGCAGAACAAAAAGTAAACAACAGACCAGAACAAAACACGCAGTGGTGCTGTGTGCTGTTCACTTGGAAGCAAATGTTTTCTTCCCTCCATCATCTAGTGTCATGAAAATGAAAACCTGCTTCCCCCTGGGATTTTCTCATTGCTTTTGCCTGAAGTAAACTGAAAAGGAAAATCCACGGTTTAGGACAGGCCATTACAAAAATAATAGTATCAAGTGCATGTTTCTCCAAATGTGAGAAGTGGGAGCACGAGCCCTTCAGCAGTAGAGCTGAAAAGGGAGGACATCCAAAGTTGTCCCTTCGAACCAAGCCACTCGCTCAGGGGAGCTGATTTTTTTTTTTCTTTTGTGCATTTTAGTTTAAAAGTGCTAGGGTCACCTCAAAATTCTGTACATGCTTTTAAGGAACAGGCAGCAGGGCTTCTGCTTTGTCCAGCTGAAACCCAGTTGCAGATTAAAGTGCACAGCCAATCGGTACCGACAGGAACCCCATTTCTCCCTTCCATGCCAGAAGGGCTGCTCTGAAGCTGAGCCTCGAGTGCAAAGCAAGGGAAATAGAGGCAATTTAAGGCTCTCAAGGAGGTGAAGCATGGAAAACCAGCAGTTTTTACATACACAGGAGAGAATGCTAATCCTAATGTACAAGTAACAGACACCACCACATGTCCTACAACGGTGCTGGGGTTACTGGGATCTTGAAAGTCTGTAGCCCTACAGTACCTGCCCTGTTCATGGCTGGCCTTGCACCTTTTAGAGCACACAATCTTTTTCCACCAAAAGGAACATATTGTTGGGAGGAGGGCAAGCTTTCGGTTTTAAGAAGCTGTCTCCTGTGTTTGTCCCGCAGGATGGAGTGCACTGCCTTCAGAAAGTCCTTCCTGTGTTCTGGTGAGCTGAAAAACAGGTGAGAATGCAAAAAAGGCAGCGTTATCCCCTGGGAACTGCTAAAAGCTCCCCAGTAAATGAGATAAATAATGAGCAGTTCTGTGATTTAAGACAGTGCAAATCAACTGGCAGGCGCTTCCCCCAGAGAAGACTCCATTTAGCACGGTGTTTTCAAAGCAAAGCTAAATCTTTGGTCATTGCAAGGGGCATCCAAGGAAACCAATACACAGTTCATTAACAAAACATTTAAGCCTTTCACCCTTCCCGAGGTTTCCTTTTCCTCCAGTGCCAAGCAAGCACTTCCCTGTGCCTGATACACACCGAGCTGACCTGTGGGGGCTCATTAAATCTGTCTGGCTCCTGGGAACACACACCAAGCACAAGTCCTGCAAATCCCTACTACCTCACAGTAGGGACTGGCTTGGCATCAGCTTTGCTGGATCCTGATGAACGTGTGTTCCAAGTTCTTACTTGAATTCTTAAGCTACGTCAGGGCAACCACAACAACAATAATGGATGTTTCCTTAAGGAAAGGGCAATGCCCAGACTGGCAGATTTTGGAACCTGGTGGCATGAAACATACCAGCTCAACACAACACACCAGCAGGATCCAGTGCTGGAGTTTAACTGGATGTGAATGGAAAATTGTAATAAGGATATTCCCATAAAGGTACATGGCTGATCAAACACATGCCTTTATTTTCAGAGATTTTACAGAATTCTGCCAGCCAGAAGGAAGGTTTTTACACCCTCTCCCCACTTCCCCTACTGGTTGTTCCCAGACTGCCTTAAAGGAAAGACATAGGCAAGCTGGGATCCAGAGGTGCCATAGAAAATAGGGAAACACACACTTACCTACAGCAAAGGTGAAACGTCCTTTCTGGCCTGCCCTCAGACTCAGATTTAACGTGGACAATCTCACACACAGAATTGGTCTCTGCATCTAAAGGGAAAAGCAAGCAGAACTTCATGTAACAGCTTCTCATGTTTAACTTGGAAGTATTTATTCCATAATCCTGAAGAAATGGTTTAAGACCACCCAGGACAACAGACAATACGCTGCAAATAATATTAACTCACGGTTGAAAGGCAGCAGTGGGCAAGTGACTAATGAAAGAACAGGCTCTTAAACTGGCAGTATTTTATATGCACCCACTCAGTTCCCATAAAAATATTTTAAAACCCCAACCCAAACAAACAAACAAAACCCACCAAATAAAAAAAAGCAAACCAAACAATTAAACAAAAACCAACAAAACCCCGGAAACAAATGAGCAAAAAACAATCCAGCTATTCAGGTGTTCCATGAAGTACTGTCACATTTTGGGTGGTGACGCCCTGGCACAGGTTGCCCAGAGAAGCTGTGGTTGCCCCTGGATCCCTGGAAGTGTCCAAGGCCAGGCTGGACGGGGCTTGGAGCAACCTGGGCTAGTGGAAGGTGTCCCTGCCCATGGCAGGGGGTGGGACTGAATGGGCTTTAAGGTCCCTTCCAACCCAAACCATTCCACGATTCTATGATTTTACAACTACCTCTAATGTTCTTTCCACTTATGCATTAGAAAGTGAGAAAACTGTATAAATTTGTGAAATTTTTCATACTCTAAGCTCCTCACGAAGCTGGCAACCACGAGAACAAAAACCCACCAGTTCTGTTGTCTCACAGCTGCAAACTGCCTTCTAATCTCCAGAAGAGGAATAGAGTGAACCAGAGTCAGCAACTACTTTGCCTTGTTTTTCCAGAATGCAGTGGGAACATTACCTGCACTGGCCAAGGCCCGAACCTGCAGGGCTTCCAAAGGTATCATGTGGCGAAATCGGAACGGATCCCAGTCTTCATAAATTGAAGCTCTATGTGATCCGCCCTGGAGGAATTTCAAAACACCATTAGGAAACCAGACACCCTGGGACAGTCAGACACAAGAATCTCCTGTGCTCTGCACTGAGAGCTTCCAGCTACAGACCTGCTGCCATTCTGATTTTCTCACTGCAACACCCACTGAGGTTCCTCTCTGTGAAGATCATGCTAAAATCTAGACTGAAGCACCCCAGCAGCCTTCCAAAGTCAGTGAGACCAGTGCTCCATTCTCTCCTCCAGGTGCACATACACTCAGGAACACATTTTAGTTTTGCTTTGGCCCCTCTGAAGTCATCCTGTGGCCAGCTGGCTTTACCCACGTGAGCATTTCAAATCACACCTTGGTCTATGCCACAGAGTCCCAAACTCCAGTGGGATCCCTGAGCCATACTGCAAGCACACCTAATTCAGCTGAGGAGAGCCAGCACTTGTTTGGTGGCACAAAACACCCAGGGCACTGTGTTTCACTGAGCAAGATGACAGACATTAAATATTTGCTTCACATACACTGACCAAAGAATCAAACACAAGAGAGATGTTCACAGTATCTTGATTCATGACAATCCACTCCCCAGCGTGGAATGGATGTGGCAGGGACATGAATAACTAGTCCAGCAGAGAGCTGAGGATAAAGTAAAGGAATGTTTGCTGCATTCAGGATGAACAGCACATTGCTCAGCACACACCAAGGATCACACATGGAAAAGAACACTCCAGCTCCACAGCTGTATGGAAAGCAGATCCCAGTCACAGCCCCACAAATGCCCACAGCATCACCTAAGCAGTCCGTTCAACTTACAAGTTTCTTCTTCTGTTTGGAGCCATCCTTGTATACGAGGACCACAGCAGTTTTGAACACTAGAAGAGAAAGTTAGAGACAAAAGTCATGTTGTCACAGAATCACAGAATCACAAAATCACAGAATGCCTGGTTTGGAAAGGACCTCTGGAGATCACCCAGTCCAAACCCCTGCCAAGGCAGGGTCACCTGGAGCAGGTGACACAGGAACTCATCCAGGTGGGTTTGGAATGTCTCCAGACAGGGAGACTCCACACCCTCCCCTGGCAGCTGTTCC